GAGACGAGTAACTGAGCAGAAGATCCTGTGGTCTGTTACTTGCCACTGATTCATAGATTCTAAGGTCAGAAGGAACCATTGTGCTCATCTAGTCTGACCTCCTGTATAACACTGGCCAGAGAACTTCTGGGTAATCATTCCTAGAGCTGAGCTTTTAGAAACTCACCCAGTCTTGATTAAAAAGGTACCAGTGATGGAGAATCCACCATGAACCTCAATAAATTGTTCCGAGGGTTAATGACCCTCACTGTTAAAAATGTATTTCCAGGTTTAATTTGTCTGGCTTCAACCTCCAGCCATTGGATCATCTGATACCTTCTTTGCTAGACTGAAGAGCCCATTATTCTCACGTAGGCACTTCTAGCCTGTAATAGAATCGCCACTTAACCTTCTCTTTGTTAAACTAAATAGACTGAAAAACTTAAACAATGAATAGTGTAGTAGCACCTTAAAGACTAACAAAACGTGTAGATGGTATCATGAGCTTTTGTGGGCACAACCCAGTACTCCAGTCATCTGAAGAAGTGGGCTGTGCCCACGAAAGCTCATGATGCCATCTACATGTTTTGTTAGTCTTTGAGGTGCTGCTAGACTATTTGTAGTTTATGTTTTTCTAGTTACAGACTAACTTGGCTACCCCTCTGAAGCTTTTACATTGATTGAGTTCTTTGAGTTGATCACTTTCAGGAAGATTTTTCTAATCCTTTAATCATTCTTGTGGCGCTTCTCTCACCCTCCTGTTTCTAATTCTTTAATCATTCTTGTGGTGCTTCTCTCACCCTCCTTCTAACTGTGTTCCGTCTTTATCCCCATTCTCATGCTTAGGTCCCCAGTACATTTCTTGATATCCCCAAGTACCCCTGTGATATTTGGGATATTAGTCTAAACCTAAATATCAGTGATATTTAGGGAACCATTGTTGGGTGCATAGTACCAGTCAGGGATGATAGTTTCCCATTGCATTATTTCAAATGTTTTTATCACACCTTTCATCACTCTTCTATTGCCTGTAAAGTAACATTTCTGGTATATGTGGATCAAATGATGCAGCTGCCAGCAATACGACATGCTTTAAGCATATGGTGGATGCTTATATATCTCTATTTGCCTTCATTTAAATGGATTCAGCTCTCAGATGCTTTGGAGGATGGGAATGGGAAACAAGCCTGATTTCAAATGCTTAGAGGTTCTTTCTATTTCCTGCATCACTTGTAGATTGGGGAGCTGACACACTAGTGTGGACTTGACAGCTCCCCAGAAATAGATTGCAGACTGTCAGTTCCCATCTCTCCATCACTTTTGGCTTTTGTTCTATATGTCTGAATTGTGTTTCCACTTGGCTTACCAGACAGCAGTGGAGACATTTGCAACTCTTAGCCACAGACCACAGAAGAAATTCCAGTAAAGGGAATGCCAACTTCTTGGTTGTAAAATGCTCCCTCGTGGTGGCAGTGAGTACACACAGCCACTACAGAAGATTCCTGTCTCAAATGGGTGCAAGGCGTGGAGTGTGCAGGTTTTAGTGTGAGCCATTAACCCAGAAAGGAGATGAGGGAAGATGCAGGAATATCAATGGCATACACAGGGATAAGAAATGCCTCTCATTCCCAACTAGCCCACAATGTTGAATCTCTGTCTGTAGGAGCATGGCAATGAGAGCTGCCATGGCACCAAAATGTAGTGGAGCAAGAGGAATAGCTCCAACTTGAATGCAGAATGAGGGTAACAGTCTAGGGCCAACACCAGTGAATGGTGATGTGTATTTGGGACTTTTTCTCTAGTAATTGTACTACTTAAATGCCCACAGGGCAATTAAAGGGCACACTGTTTGATTCAGATACTAAATGAGGGACATAAAAAGACTCTGTGAAGCAAGAAACTTGAAGCAGAATTTTTTCTTTTGGCGCCAAAAACTCTTAAAATCACAATCTCATCAGTCTTTACTATGGATACAAACAGTTTTCAGCAATAAAAATGAGGGGTACCATATTTTGTATGGAAAATTGGTAAAATTGAGACTAAAGTGGGTGATGTTCCTTAAATGAAGGCACATTTGAGAGGTATATTAGTAACTTAAAGTCTCTCAATCCTATCACTGAAGCTGTATTCTCTCTCAGACGATTGCTTAAGCATCCACATGCTACATCTTTAGAGTCCAGTCCAATTTGATCCGGCTCTCCTAGTTTCCTGTGTTTTAGTCAACTTAAAGGACTTCCCAAACACAACAAGGCTCCCTGCCCCCATTAGCTGAGTCAGCTAGGAACCGCAACTGCCTTCTCAAAGGCTCAGACAAACTGGAAGGAGACAGCATTCCTTATTTCATCCACTTGTCAATAATCTTGATCCCAGGGACTCTGCAAAGTCTGACTGGAATCCAAATCCATTTTTAAGTTTATTTCCAGTTTCCTAGGGAAGCCAGCAGGTACCTTTTGAAAGGTTGATGGGTGTTCATCTTGATCTAGAAATCAAGACTAGTATTTCTGACCCAAGACAGGTTAACCGTGGGTCTCAAAGCAATTGTACATATCCCTTCACAGAAAGAAATGCCCCTTTTAGGGAAAAAAGTATGTCTCGTTGTCTGGCTTATGTGATGCCTAGGAAAGGGTTACATTGCTAGAAACAGTGTCTGGCCATCTAGTTGGATGAGATGTTTTCCTGATGTAATGTTTGTAACTGATTGCTGTGTCTGGAGAGCCTCAATGGGCAGAATTTCCAAGTAGTCAATCTTCCTCTTCATTTTCCTGGTACAGCTTTAATTAAGTTCCATTGGTCTAATCTCATTAAAATCTGGTTTGTTCTATTACCTCTGGACACTTCGGCCAAACCCCATTGCAAAGCAGGCAGTTTAAACCTAAGGAAAAGGTTGTACTATTGTTAGGGTTTCCTGAAGTCCCCTTTGGTGCCTTGTCAAGATTCCTGTTCCATGGTGGAATAGTAACAAGGCAGGTTCAGTAAGGGAGAAGACCCAGGCTGGCATGTTTCTAAGGGTATGTCTACACCAGCCCCCTAGTCCGAACTAGGGTGGCTAATGTAGGTATTCGAACTTGCAAACTGAATATCTTATTTCAATATGTGCAAATTGCATATCTTATTTCAATTTTAAAGTGCAGTGTAGATGTACCCTTAAGCTTTATTGTTGCCCTCAAGCAGAATAAACTGCCCTAACTAGCAAGTTAGGGCCTGATGCCCATATATTCTAAAGTAAGTTTTACAGTTCCTCCTGGCTTGATTGATTTGCTCTGTGAAAAAGCTAATAAAAGCAAAGCTCCAGAATCATTTCCACGCAGGGAGCAGCAGGAGCAATTGTGACAGCTTTCTGAGCTGCTTAGCAAAAGGAATCAAACAAAATAGCCTCTCCAACCACTCCTTCCTTCTGCTGCTCTTTTTCTAGCGCTAATTCTCTAGAGGCTTCATGATCTAGTGCTTTTCAGAAATAGGCCCCTCACTTTATATATTCACTTTCCAAGAAGATATAAATCTGCTTTATAGATTAATCAACCAAACTGCATCAACATTACAGAAAATGGGGAGCAGATAGAATAATTTCTCACAATCATCCATTCTCATGGCTAGGGCCAACTGTCAGCTTAATGAAGTTCAGGCCAATGTCTGTCCAATTCATTTGGATCTTGCAGTCAATGTAGATAGTTCTCTGAAAACAGCCACTCAGTGTGCAGTGGCAGTCAAAAAAGCAAATAGAATGTTAGCAGTCAAAAAGGTATAGGGAATAAGACAGAAAATATTTTGTTGACTCTATATAAAACAATGGTACTCCCACATCTTGAATACTGTGTACAGCTGTGGTTGCCTCATCTCAAAAAAGATATATTGGCATTGGAAAAGGTTCAGAAAAGGGCAACAAAAATGATTAGGGGTTTGGATCAGGTCCCATATGAAGAAAGATTAAAAAAACTTGTACTTTTCATCTTAGAAAAGAGGAGACAAAGGGGGAGTATGATAGAGGTCTATAAAATCATGACTGATATGGAAAAAGTGAATAAGGAAAAGTTATTTACACATTCCCACAATAAAAGAACTAGGGGTCACCAAATGAAATTAATAGGCAGCAGGTTTAAAACAAACAAAAGGAAGTTTTTCTTCACTCAGAGCACAGTCAACCTGTGGAACTCCTTGCCAGAGGATGTGGTGAAGGCTACAACTTTAACAGGGTTCAAAAAAAAGCTAGACAGATTCATGGAGGTTAGGTCCATCAAAGGCTGTAAATCAGGATGAATAGGAATGGTATCCCTAGCCTCTGTTTCTCCGGAGGTGGGTGACAGGGGAAGGATCATGTGAGGATTACCTGTTGTGATCCCTCCCTCTGGGGCATCTGATATTGGCCACTGTTGGCAGACAGGATACTGGGCTAGATGGACCTTTGGTCTGACCCAGTATGGCCATTCTTATATTTATTTGACATTACAAAGTGAAAATGGCACCAGCTCTGTTTTGAACGTTACTCACAGGACTGACTTTCTGATCTGTGAGCCCTAAATAAGAACACCGTCTCAAAGTCCTAGTCTATACTAAGGAGTTATTTCCAAATAAACCCTCTTATTTTAAAGGGTTTATAATAAGTGGAGTGTCCACATAAATAAGCTTATTTCAAAATAACAGGCTGGTTATTTCAAAAATTGTACTCCTGCTTTCCTTGGGGAATAAGCTTATTTTGAAATAGATATTTTGGGAGTTATTTCAAATTTAGTTATTTTGAAATAATTTCCTAGTGTAGACATGCCCAAAATGCCAGAGGAGAGAGGGGATGGGAATAGTTTTCCTCACCTCCCCCCAAATCTGCCGATTGAGGAACAGGTTGTCCTGGCCAGTCACTTGGGAGTTTGCCTAAGGCACCCCAAGAAGAAGTTTACTTTGAGTTTAAGGCTGACTGTGACCTCAATCCTGGAATCAAACAGGAATCTTCTGAGCACTGAGGAACCCAGCCTCATGTTGCACATGCTTCGGTGCTGGTAACCATGTTCCTTTTTCTGTTTGCTCCACAGATCCTGTGTGGGAAGGAGATCCCCCGGTGGGTGAACCGCCTTGCCTACTTCAGCTCGTGCATCCCTTTCCTCCAAAGTTGCCTCCCCAAGGAGTGGCTGACCCCAGCAGCCTTGCAGAGTCACATCAGCCTCGGCCTTCACAAAGAGGAGCAGGGAGACACAACGGATGAGGAGTCCCCATCCACTTCTGCAGCTGCCTCAGCCTCAGGCACCTCGAGAACCTGTAGACATACCCGGGTCTGAGCTGTGCCCACTATGCTCTCTCCCTTCTCTTGCTCTCTGGGTTTCTTCTGTTCCTTTCTTGTTTCCTCTTTCTCCTTCTTTCCTTCACCCATGAACATTGGGGAAAATCCCCTTAACCGAGATGAGCTCTTGATCCCTTCTTGAAGGGTTGTCATTACTGTGGCTTGGCAAAATGACTCTGAACTACAGCATTGTGCTGACAAGTGTGGTGGCTAACCTGGACACTCCTTCCAAAGCCCGCTATGCTCCTTGAGCTGCAGAGAACTACTGACTTTCTGGGCATGAGAGCATGGGACTGGAGGGAACCATACTGTGAAGTTCCTTGGCTGGAACTATTTTTATTCTTTTATCTCCCCCTCTCTTTCCTGCCCATAACTCTCCTCTCCAGTTCTGCCCAGACAGCCCCTCCCCCACACCAGACCTCCTGGACCTACCAAATGAAGGAAGCAGAGCCTCAGCTTGACTTTTTCATCTCTAAGACCAGCAACAAGCTCCTGATGCCCCTCCTTTTTGTAACTGCCGGGTTTGTAAATCATTTGAAGGACAAGTGAGAGGTGCTGCTATTCTACAACCACCAGTTTTCTGTGTTAGGATTCAAGAGATCAGAGGACTGTCCTCCTCCCAACAACAATACCAAAATTACCTAGAAAACAAACGTGTAATGGTGGTTTTTATTTGGTTCCAACAGTGAGCGGGGCTAATGCTCGCAGGGGGGGGGAGGGGGTAGCTATTAAATAGATGCAAGGGTGGCCTTTGGTTGGTTGGTTGGTTCTCTTAGGCAAAGACATTTTGGTTTCCCTACTCAAATCACCAGTTTCACATCCCTGGTTTGCTGTTTCCCTTCCTTTTCACTGAAGTAGCAAATTTGTCTTCTGGCTGGCTAGCCTGCTGCCTCTCGCAACATATGTTCTGGAGTGAGAGGGTATTCCTTAGTCAGATTGCTATTTCCTTCAGTCTTTCCTCACAGTAACACAGGACCCAACATATAGTTCCCTTAGCAGCCACCTACCCAGTTGCCATTTAAAGCCAACCCAGTATGGCAAAAACTACCTAGACAGAGAATAAACCTGAAGAATTTACACTTGTTCCCCTGTCTCAGAGGCTGTCTTGGGATGGAGTGAGCAGCTTGGGATCCCATCAGGAAGCACTGAGGATGCTGCACTGTGGCATCTTTTGTTACATAACATTCTCTTATTTCAGTATAGAAAAGGGGCAAGGGCGGGTGCCCCATAACTGGTTTATAGATGTATTATGCCCACAATGATGGTTTCTATGAGGGGAAAGGGAAACAGAGAAGGAAGTAATGGCACCAATTCCAGTATTCTATCACCTCACCAGAAACTATGTTCAGCAGCTAGTGGAGTGTGGAAAAGAAAAATCTAGGTCCCTTTCCCCCCATCAACCACACAGAAGAGAAAGACAAAAGAGCCTGAGGATGTGGGTATTATGTATTAACTTAGGACCTGAAAGGAAGGGCTATGCTCCAGCTGAAGGCAGGAGGAGGTATAGATGCCCAGCACCTCTGAAAATCAAGCCACTAGTGTGGATGAGTGGGTCTCCTGCTGGTGGTCAGCTAGAGTGGAAACAACAGTCTGCTAATTACAACTAGCTACGCAAACTATTCCATTAGCTCAAGTATATAGAGATTGTGGGTTTGGTATTGAAAGTCCTGAATTTGATTCCTCATAGATGTGCCTGGTATCTGTATGTACATGGCCTCAGTTTGGTACTTGTGTGTATCCACATGCCCAGAGAGATTAAGGAATCAGAAGAGCCCTGTGAAAAGATCGGACCTTCATTCACGGACAACAGCTGCATTCTTGGATAGGTAGCAGAGTACAGGAGCTTTCCAGGGCCAGAAATTCCATCCTTACGTTAGGGTTTAAACTCATCCCCTGTAATGATGCACATTTGTACAATGAAATCTTCATAACAGGCTTCCAATGTTTCATAAGCCTCGTATCCCTGCCCAGAACCAAAGTCAAACTCCGTTAAACTTAGCCACCTCCAGTCAGCGCCCACAACTTGAATTGCATTGTCAGTTATTCCTTCCACCTTTCTCAGCATAGCTATCTCTATGTAATTGCGTGGAGCCAACATCACATTCTCTGGTACCCTGGTTTGTTCTGTGATGATTTACTAGGATCAGCACCCTATTCTCCATTATTCTGACATTGCCAGAGCTGCTGCTACCCTGCCACAATACAGCACCGCACTCTCAATTGCTGTTCGGTGACTCCTGCCTAAGCCAGCCATGAAATCTCCATTTTTCTGAAGTTCCCAGAATTTCAGCCAAAAATCAGCCTTGTGACTGCAGGTATGTGCAGGAACTGAGTGGAGACATCCCAGAGCTTTCATTTAGAGAGAGAATATTGCAGTCAGATTTAGAGCAAATAGTCCTGGATTGACAGTCAGCCATTCATCACCCCAACTTGCCATCTTGCATCTGATCTCATCTGAAGCACCACATTTGAAGTCCCATGTGGACTCAGGGCTCCAGTGGTGTACCTTTCCTTTAGGGAAATATTTTCTCTAAATATTTTTCTGAACAGATGCAACTAGTTTAATTTTAATCCAAGCAAGTTGCATTCCTCCTCTATTTAAGTCCATGGGGAGAGGAGACATGCTTGAGGCTGCAGGACACTTATTTGGTGAAAGCTGTTAGCTCTATAAAAAGTTGGGATTTGGGGGGGGGCGGGGTTTGCAGTGTGGGCAAGGAGCAGTAAGAAAATCAAACCACCATTGTGGCAAATTCATAGCTCAGAATGCTTTATAGACCTCAAGACTGCTATTTATCATCCCACCCTGTCCAAGCTAATTGATCAACAGTGACCAGCATAAAGAAAAAGACACTGTGGAAATAAAAAGGATATTAACAATATAGTTACCTGTGTAATTAACAGCATTTTAACTTATTAAAATGAAGTTTTTAAAATCTTATTTATTGGTCCCTATCAGTGCAGTTTGTTTATTTTGGGCACTTTGCCTTCCCCTTAGAGAGTGAAATTAGACTGGTTGATTTCACATTCTGGTTCTAGTTACTTTTACTTCCTTTTTTCCCTCTGTAGTTCTCAGTGCTGTTATTTGGGCTCCTAACACTGCTGGGGAAGTTTAAAATACCAGCATTTCTCACCAAAAATATATATATATGTTTGTGTACATTTGGAAAATATTTGTATTCATAATGTTTTGCTGCTCCCCACCTCCTTTTTTTTCACTGACTTACAAAACCAAGAGTTGGGTCCAAATATACTTGACAGTGTCTTTTAAAAGGAGCTAGAGAGGAGCCATCTTGGCATATTGATGTTAACAGCTGAGAGTGATTCTTCTTACAGAGGGCAGGGCTTTGCAAAGATGAGAGGATAAGGCTGTGTCTAGACTGGCCAGTTTTTCTGGAAAATCAGCCGCTTTTCCGGAAAAACTTGCCAGCTGTCTACACTGGCCACTTGAATTTACGCAAAAGCACTGACTTCCTACTGTAAGAAATCAGTGCTTCTTGTGGAAATACTATTCTGCTCCTGTTCAGGCAAAAGTCCCTTTTGCGCAAAGCTTTTGCGCAAAAGGGCCAGTGTAGACAGCTCAGATTTGTTTTCCACAAAAAAGCCCCGATCACGAAAATGGCGATCGGGGCTTTTTTGTGGAAAAGCGCGTCTAGATTGGCACGGACGCTTTTCTGCAAAAAGTGCTTTTGCAGAAAAGCGTCCGTGCCAATCTAGACACTCTGTTCCGAAAATGCTTTTAACGGAAAACTTTTCCGTTAAAAGCATTTCCGGAAAATCATGCCAATCTAGACGCAGTCTAAGAGTTCAGGCATGGTTATACTAATGGAGGAACACTAGCTTCATACAACAGGACACTTCTCCTGTAGGGAAGAACAGGACAAGAGAAAAAGAGGCAAGTAATAAACAGAATCTGCTCTCAGAAACTGCACTTCAGTAATGCCAGTTCTGATGTGGAGAGACATTTCGTTTAGAAGGCCCTTGTCGCTTGGCTACTTCCCCCTCCTAAACAAGGATTTGGGGACTGCTTTTACAGTCTGTATCAGGTAATTCCCTAAATTTTGTACCATTGCTTTTGGACAACACAGTGAAAAGTGCTGGTGCTGACACCACATAGCATCTGGTTATAGAGGGGCTTCTTTCCCTCATTCCCATGTATCTTCAGTAAGAGTTGCAAATGTTCAAGACCTCTGAAATTCAGGCCCACAGTTTTTATGGATAGCTGATAACATCAAGAAGCAATAACAGTTGTGATTTCCAGTCCCAGTGAAGCAGCCCTGCATATTGTACATTCGGAAAATATTTGTATTCATAAAGTTTTGCTGCTCCCTATCTCTTTTTTTCACTGAATTACAAAACCTAGAGTCAGGGCCATGAGGCATTTATTGTGACTCGACGACCTTTAATTTTCAAGACTTTAGCCTGCTAAAAGAGAACAGCATCACACAGGGCCAAAGTTGATTCTGCCTTAGCTACTCCCACTGTGTTCCCCTAACAGTGTTGAATGTGGTCCAAAAACCTTGTCCTGGAATATTAATTATACAAGGGTCCCATCGTACACCTTAGAAGTCACTGGGAGTTGTACCTTTCTTTGGGAATAGGACTGAGCCAAGGCCTTCATCCTGCAACTCATGGCTTGTCCCTGGCTTAGGGCAGAGGGAATGTGATTTGTATTTGTTTAGAAAGCACCATATGTTGCTGTATAAATACTACTAGTATAAATGGTGACAGGCTGCTAAGGCAATTGAGGTCCTCAACCCTCCATCAAGCCACTTATTTAGGTGCTTATTTAGATACCCACATTTGAAAATGTTGGCCAAAGTCTGCTGCCTGATATCACACAAGTGGGAGTGATGGGAGTAGAATTCTAGAGCCCTGACTCCAAGTTTAGGGGATGGACTCTGTGTAGGTCGGTCCATCTCTTCTGCTATGATTCCACACCTTAGTACTCTCTTCTCCTGTGTTTGGTCAGTCCCCAGACTGTCAGGAACCCTTCATGTGAACTACCTGACAAATTTAGCTTAACAAGTTTTTACGTGTCAGTGGAGGTTAATACATTCTCTTCCTTGCTGCCATGACCTGATGTGGAACTACAGACAACTCCTTTTAGCACATCTCACCCTTTCCATAAACCCCACACAGCAGCTTCTCTGCTTTGCCTTCTGCACCTGCTGGTTGCAGCCTCTCCTCCTCAGCTGCTTCTTCCCTGCTCCATCTCCCTACTTTCCACCATTCTTCCTTATTGCCAACTGTGTTCATGTCTGCCACAGAGGGGCTAGAGCTGGTTCTGTGTTTAAAGCAGCTAGCAATTAATTTATTGAATGATTCAGGAAAACAGTGATCTAGGTTTGCTGTGATGCTGGCCAGATGTTCAGCCTGTGCCAGTCTCACTTGATTAAGGGAGCTTTCAATCTCCCATTTCCACTCCATCCTTTTTCAAATCCATCGACATACACTGAACCTCTTGCTGCTGTAGCATGCACTACACAATCATGTTCCTGGGAAATGCTGACATTTTGCCAATATGCTTTGGTGATACAATTCTATGATTGCCAGCACCTGCAACACATTTTGTACCCACTGCCTGCTGCTGTGTGGCAGCACACACGTGGTTAAGTAGAAATTCATTGTGGTTCTTAATCAGGACTGGCCTTATCATGAGGCGAACTGAGGTGGCTGCCTCAGGTGCCAGACTGAGGGGAGGGCCACTAGGACCCAGAGAATTGAGACCTTTCAAAGTTTTGGCACAAGCAAGGGAGCATGGGGGCATCATTTGAGCTCCTCACCTCAGGTGCCAAAACGTTGTGGGCCGGCCCTGTTCTTAATCTAATCTAAAATGCACCTGTATGCCATGATAATAGATGGTCAGAGGCAGATTAACCACTGAGCCAATGCCCAGGGGTCTCAGCCAATTAGAGGGCCCCAGAAAAATGAGTGTTCCTATGCCCCAACCTGCCCTGTCTGCCCAGTGCACCTGCCAAGCAGTGGGCAATCCCACTCCCCAGCAGGAGCACAAGGTGGGCAGGATGAAGTAGGTCCTCATGCCCTGACCCCACTCCCAGCAGGACTGGGAGGAGGACGAGGAGCGAGCTGACTGCAGGCAGAAAGGTAGGGAGGGGCCCCCACTTCTTTTAGCAGAGAGCCCCACAAAACTGTAATCTGCAGATGATTCAAACACTACATCTTTGTTTTTGTTCTACCTACAGAAATTTTCACACCTGTTATTTTATTACTCATGGCTAGGTTGATTTGTGTGGAAAAAATGAAAAACTTTGGTGGCAGCTGGAGCCTGCGGCCTGCATTAGTGAGTGAGTTTTAACAGAAGGTTAAACATGGGAGAAATTCTGCCCTCAGAGGCAAGAATGATCCTCCTATGAAAGCCAGCTGGGGCTGTGCACGCACAGTTTAAAGCAAATTTTGGCCAATTGACAACATACTTGTAACTTGTCCTTATCTGGTTGAAAAAGATGCTGTTTTGAACCTCAAAAAATGAGGGACTAATAGTGTTGATTTCAGGTATAAATAGCGCAGGCAGGTGCTGTACAAGTTTCTCCTCCCTGGGTCTCCCAGAGCATATCAATCCTGAACTGGCACAGCCTCTGCTACTCCAGTCCTGTTCTCCCTTACAGCTCTGCCAGGGCACCTTCTTCCACCTTAGCAACAGCACCTTCCTCTAGCTTTGCAATGGTTCTCATTCCTCTCTTGGCCCAGTGTGACTCAGACCATAAATCACACCAAACTGCTGAGTGGTCTGGGGAAGTGAAAAAAGATCATTTAGAATTAGGAAGAGATTAACTTTATTCAATCTGTGACCTAGGGCATGTCTACACAGCAGGGCTAAACTTGAAATAAGCCCTGCAACCTGAACTACACTAATTGCGTAGCTTACATCGTAATAGTTTATTTTGACTTTTGGCGCTGTCTACACGGCAAGACGTCTGAGAGGGCACTTTCCCCCAACTTCCCCTACTCCTGCAATGAGGATTACAGGAGTTGGAGTAAGCAATCCTCCAACTCAACATTATTTGACATTGTCTAAATTACTGCTTGTGTGTAGACGCGGACTATGTTATTTCGGAATAACGTCAGTTATTCAGTATTTCGGAATAACTAGCGTTATTCTGAAATAACATTATAATCCTCAATGATGTTATTCCAAAATACTGCTGCTGTGTAGACATAGCTCTAGTGGGTGTTTGAACTCAGCTGTCCAGAAGAGGCTGACTTCATGTTTGAACCTCACTTCATCCTACCCAGAGCCTACTAGCACATGTTTTCTACAGAAGCACAAATAGGAAACTTTTAAACAACTCAACATAGAGTCAGAGACTTTCACTTGAACTTTATTTTCTTTTCAGATACTCATCTGTGAAACAGACAGTCCAGCTGGGGGTGGTATTGATCCTGGTATGTGTGTGACTCATATCACACTAGTGTGCATTGCACAGCATGCATGCACAGTGCAAAATCATCCCTGGGCTTCCAACTGCCAGAACCCAGAGGCACCATGTCTGAAAAAGACAACCCTTTCCTCCCATGGCCCCACCTCTCTGAAAAAACATCACAGGATTATCTTCATGTCTATAAATGTCATAGCGACTAGCATATTTCACACCAGGTTTTTTTAAAGCAATACAGAAGCATTTGTTCTCTCCCCCAGATGATTCCCTGCAGGCTTTGCCTCTTTCATGTCATTGGTCACGGGCTGACTGAACTGATGCAGTCCCAGGGAAGGTGGGGGAAAAGACCCTGTTTTCTGTCCTCTGAGGTCCTTAAAGGGGAAATCTCCTGAGGGATTCTCTTTGATAAACCATCTGAGCACTGGGAAGCACCAACTTCCTTATACGGGGTTATACTGAGAGCCTCTCTCTCTCCCTCGCTCTTTCAGTGACCTTAAAGGGATCTACGCTCCAGGAAAATGTCCCTGACTTCCAAAGGGAATTTGCCTGAGTATGGATGCAGGGTTGGGTCCTAAATGAAAGAAGATCAGCCTGTATGTCCTCTGTCCCACCAGTACTTAGCAGCACTGAAATGGCCTCCGCTTTCCTGCTACCTAAACAGTGGGTGTCCTTGGATTTCCTTTGCCTCCTGAAACACAGAACTGCTGAATTGCCACTGCAGGACCATCATAATTGCTGCCAAGGAATGATTATCATGAGTATTGGATTGTATTACCGTAGTGCTGGTAAG